TGTCTATAAGTTTGCATGTGCTTATAAATAATTGCTCTTAACAAATATGTCAGAGATATCTGTTACTAACTTTAATTCAGCGTGGGGTGGCAACCCCCACTTAATTAATGGAGGGGGATTATACTACGATCCGAGATCTTAAAGGTGCTAGATCTCCGTTATAAAAATCACACTTCGCCGACTTGTTATTTAACAGTTAGTGCTTTGTAATATTTTTAACTAAAATAATTTTAAATCTTGGAATTTTGTGATTGCTTCTCCCTTAGTAATCGCATAATAAAAATAGCACATTATTTTTATTTTTTGTCTTATATTTTCGTAAGGGATAACCAGCCGGAAATTGTCTGCGTTGTTCACATAGAACTATGAGCGGCGGACCAATGGAGCAAGGGATAACTACTGCTACCTCTAAAATTCAGCAGAGAATAAACAATTGTACGAAAGTATTTTTATGTGAATGTGTATTTCCGGTGTCTATTGTTTGTAGTTGAACAGTTTGCGGCTCTCTAGTAGCAGGTCGTAGGAACTATTACTCTCGCGCATTGCTTGTAATGTGCTTCATTCTAGCGGATGTCCCCCATAACTTGGGAAAAAAAAGTATTCCAGTTATGCGTCTGGCTATTGTTGGTTAAATTATGCTTGTGAGACGTGTCTTGTTGGGTCAGCGAGAATGCTGAGTGCGTAAAAACTGGCTATGCGTATACAACAGATTTCAGGCACGCTGAAGTAAGTTGTGATTTCAATCTAGTATCGTTTTCATTGTGTTATAGTTAAAATATTAAACAAAACGGTACTAATTATCAAATTAAATTAAATTTTATCTTTATAATGTCTGCCAGCTGTTTATTCAATGTTTAGAATTTTAAAAAAAAAATCTCTTAAATAGTACCATTTTGCACCTTAAAATCCAAATATTTCCGAGGAGGTCCCCCGGAAATAATAGGGGAATCGGTGATTCATAGCACACAGCTCATTTTACCCACAGGCCGTCGCTAGTGAAACCCCACTCCCAAACTATTGAATCCGAAATTTATGCTCCCCTTGCGTTCCGCCGCCCCTGATAGAACCTGTATTATTATATGGATATCTTAAGAACGTCTAACCCTGCAGACATATATTTTCCAAAGTGGAGATTGGTGAGATAATTCAATTAACGTATTCTAAAAATGCATCTTGGTAAAAATAACAAAATACAGTTCACTGAGCTTTCGATACAAATAAAATCCGCCACCAAAAAAAGTTATGTCTATTGATTAGCCAAATGGCGGTGAAAGTTTCACTGGAATCGTTTCTTTCATCTCTGCGGTGTATATGGCTGCAGCAAGAGCAAAAGCTAGTATGACTGCTCTTTTCTTCATCACACCGCACCGTATACACTTTATTGTAAATAGAAACAAACCTAATGATATTCCTATCTAGAACAACCACAATCCCTGCTCTCGTATGAGTTACCAAAGCGCCGACATAAGACAGGTAAACTAATGGACTGAAATGCAAATACAAAATAATATTTGTAAAATGGCGAACAAACCTTTGGAATATGAGCTGCGTTGTAACACACTTGAAGACAACATTAACAAAATTTAAACTGCAAATACATAATTGTTACAATCTGTCATCTTATGAAAGCTGTGTATACAAATTATGACTCGATAGTACAACTCAAAAAGGCATGGCATCACACAGACAATGCCGCGGAACCTTCCGCTGCAGTCAATATTCGCTTTCAATATCTATATCTGGAAATGTAATTATTAAATAGACGACTACAGCAAACTCCTCCGCCAATAATATGATGCATCACTGCTTGTTTCATTTCCCTTTTTTAACTGGTCAAAGAAAATCTGTATCGTATTTAAAATGAATTTATGGGTGATAGTTTATTAAATGCATGTGCCATTGTTGATCTTATAGCAGTCCTTTGGGCTTCAATAGGGCAAAATAGCTCCTTCAAGGTTTTAACATTACACTCATTAATACTTGTGCACAATCCGTACCAATAATAAGGGACTTTACTCTCGCATTACACAATGTCGTACCTATGTTATATCTCGAAAATACCTTGGCTCGTACCTTCACTCTAAGAAATTATTAAAATTTTATCATATTAGGGTATACGCTTAGTGGGAATGAGGGAATGGTAATTATTTCTCCCATACATTTATTGTAGCGTTCTTACATTTATTTAAGGAAGAGTAAATAATGCAAGGAATTTCCAAACCTCTTATAGTAACGATGCTAAATATTCTTATATTTGTAGCTTAATATATAGTATTTTATACATACAATGTATATGTTAAAAACTTCCATTAAAGTTTATGATTTTTACCGTACATTTTTTTTCAGTGATCAGAAACATCCTCCATCGATTGATTAGTATCTATAAGAATTTCAACATCTAAAATGGGAATGTTTTAAGTTTCATTGAGTAGTCATTTTAAACAGACTTTGAAATAAAGCTCGTTACCTCAGCTCTTTCTTTCCGAAACAATTTTAAGGAATACAAGTGTTAATACTTCCATACCGTTAAGTCCTCAGGAACTACCTCGTTAAAAATTATAAGGAAATAACTAACTGTACAATTCTAAATTATTTCATCGCTTGAAATGAACGATCTGAGTTCATCACGTATATGAAACGCGCATACGAGATTGACAACCCTAAATTCTTTATTAAATATACAGCCAATGAACAAACAATAAGTCATGTAGCTACACTTCTTCTTTGGTTTGCGGCAGTTAAAATTTCTGACAGTTTCGCTCTCATAGATTTAACTATAATGTTTTAGCGCTGCTCGTTTCACGAACCTTAAACTGCATCTTCATATGTAACATATTATTTTTGTTGTTATTCTAAAATACCGCCTTTAATTAGTTTACGCTCTACACGTTTACTCCGCCAATCTTTATTCGTTGTCAACGAGACACTTTTCGTCGGCTTTTTCTTATACAAATTGAATTAGCAATTACAAACGGTATTATTTATATCATTTTTAATTATAGTTTGTAACTATTTGTTTTTGGAACCTCGCATGTGGGGATCGTGCCGGACTACGCCGTTGGCCGGCGGGTTTTCTCTGCGATATCCCGTTTCCCCCACCCTTTCATTCCGACGCTGCTCCATACTCGCCTCAATCGCCATCATCAGCTCTCAAGCCCTCGATGTTAAGAGCCGTCCAAATGGCTTCTCCTGCTTGAAACATCCACACCACTCCGATTCAAGATCATGATCATTTCTGGCAGTAAGGAGCAGGAAATACAAACATTTTAGGAAACAATTATTAGCAAGGTTATTTTTAAAAAAATCACGTAATTCTTCTTCATAACTTTCTTAATAGTTAAACTGATAATTTTTAACATTTCAAAAGTTTCACTTTTATTTATACCATAATTCATGATCGTTATATAGATTCCAAAGATTAATTTTTTTTCTAATTTTTTTGGTAATTTTGCGAGTACATACATATACAACAGAAATATATAACTAATATATCTACTTGATACACAATTCTCGCTTGGTGTAGTAAGAATTCGGTAGCCGCCAGCGGTTAGCCTTCAGAGAATTGTTTTTAAACGATAATGCTCTTTATACATCCGTAATTCATCCATTCATACATAAAGACACACTCGTATTTCTATTAGCAATACGTAATGAATTTAACACACTGAGCGCCTTATAGTTTCACTGTATAAAATGTGCAATGCCATTAAAGCATCGCAAGTGGAAATAATTATAATACTTACAATTGCCCAAAAAATACACATCGTAATAATTATACCGACCACGACAGGATTCGAACATGCAATCTTCGGATCCGAAGTCCGACGCCTTATCCATTAGGCCACGTGGTCTTGACAGAAATGGCGCGATTCATTGAAAGAAGATTACCTATGACATCATACATCAATATTCATATCGATTTGAAGCTGCATTGACAGGAAACAAACTGTTCGTTTTCTAAGTTGCGCCGTGTTTGATGAGGAAGCCAAACTTGATACAGCGAACAATTAGAAGAGATTTATTCGTAGCTGAGTTAGGAGAATTATCTGTATGAAACCGACAACGGCAAACGAAGGGAGATCCAGACTGCATGTCATCGGTTTTTTTTTTTTTTTGGTTTTTGTTTTATCTCACTTATGCTGTTAAGATTCTGTATTTATTATATGACAACAAATTGTATTACTCAACAAGACTGTCAAAAAAACTATTTCCCTTTACTCGTTGAACAAGCGGTCAAAATACACGAGTTAGTATGTAACAGTAAATTGAGCCCCACGATAAAACATAGCGTTACTAAGTAGCTTTAAATTTGTTAGCCTATGTGGGTTGGGGTGAAAATGGAAGAGAATTCTGTAGCTTTCAATTATGATGATTGGAAACACCGCAAAGAAATTCATCTGGTTAAAAAGAAACAGAATGGGAGACTATTTACTGAAATAAATGAAATATTTACACTACAAAATAAATGACTAATAAATATATTTTTACTCAAAATTTAATTTTCATTTTAGCAAACGTAAAAGCGAATCGTATTCTTCAAAGTATAATGTGACTGGTGTAATTCCATGTATGGCTTACATTAAGTGTTGATGTGGCTTAGGAGTTAGAAGAGGCAAAACCGGCCTAATCTTCCTATTAATTACGAATTTAGCCAATTTTATTTTTTAACGTGTGTTAAAGTTTGATTAAAAATAGTTTTGATATGAAAATTGTTAACTCTTATGTTGAGTGTTTCGATGTCAAAATTGTTAGTAACAACGTTCACAAACACTTCCACTTAAACGACACTTCCGCGGCCTTAGCGATACACCCTTAACACCACTTGCAATACTTTCAACATGAGTATAATTTCCTAACAAATAGCATATTCATTTAAGTTTATTTAGAACTAGTAAAAATGTACATTTTTAAATACGTATGTGCAAAATTTTAAATTCAGTTTTAAATGAGTATCAATGTTCTTTAGACTCATGAAGTAATAAGTTAAATTGCACTGAATGAGGAGGCACCCAGATTTTAACCAGGGACTTCTCGATCTGCATTCCAATGCTCTGCCGCTGAATTATACCCCCTCGGCTTAAACGAGAGCGCTACATTAATATAGGCTGTTCGCGGTTAAGTGAACACTTTTCAAGGCCCTCCCAACAGGCATTGACCACTAACAAATATATGTTACTGCAGCCTCAGTCATTAAATTTTAAGGGTGGTTAAATGTATACTCTGTGTTTATTGGTCAAATTGCAATGTCTATATTAAAAAGCAGCAAGAAAATGGAAGTTGGATGAAAGGAAAAATTTAGAAGGGCCTTAAAAAGTGCTCACTTTACCGTGAACAGCCTATAAATAAATAACTCAATATCTAAAAAATTATACAAACAATTTTATTCAAATTTGGCATATATGTAATACTGCGAAAGGCCAGGTAAATGGAAATAATTGATTCTAATGAAGCACTTTTTTTAATGGCGTCTATACAAATATTTTAAGTTTATTTGGTATAACTAACATACCGTTTGACCTATCTGAACGAAATGTTGTATACTGACAGTATGTATTACAAGCATCATATAACCCATAAAACAGCCACTTTTGTCAGCCATTTTGTAATATAATGCTAAATGAATTAATACATTTGTTGTGTAATATCTCGGGAAACAATTGACAGATTGCTACCAAATTCGGCAAACAAGTATTACTGCAGCAGTTGATGTGTATAAAAACGTTTCTATTATGCCAGGCATTTATTTTCTAAATTGTGGCAACCTAGCTATTTTAGCATTGTATGATATATTTTCTAAACTATGCAGACAATCCCATTTTAACTTTTTATGATAGGAGTGTATATAACGAATATAAAATGTGTGTAAAGACAGCCTTTGTCCTCTATTTTTATGTGATATTTGGGAAACAATTGTCCGATTCCAACCAAATATCGCAAAAGAGTAGTATTATGGTAGGTGGTTTTAAATGATAAGTTTTAGGTGTGTCAGATATTTATTTTCAAAATGGCGACAATATAATTATCTTTGTTCTGTATGTTATATTGTCGAAACCATGTAATTAATTCCAATGAAACTTGTGTGCCGGCTGTGTGTGTGTGTGTGTGTATATATATATATATATATATATATATATATATTCATATATATTTATATATTATATATATATTTATATATATTTATATATAAATTGCCTAATTTTAATTTGTCATGTGAAATATTTTATAAAATGGCGGACAAGGAGATTTTTGGGGACATATTTAATGCCATTAAATATGTCCCCAAAAATCTCCTTGTCCGCCATTTTATAAAATATTTCACATGACAAATTAAAATTAGGCAATTTCTTCATAAAAATATTTCTATCAAATTTGGCAAACAAGTAGCAGTATGGCAGACCATGTAAACCGAAAACTTTTGAAAAGGTCAGACACACATGTTTTCAAAATAGCTGAAATATATGTGTTTTAACTCGGAATTTTTCATCTATGAAAGCACAAAAAAATTTTTAACTGGACTTTGTATGTTGACAGTATCAATTATATCCATCAAAAGTATATGCAAAGCCTAATTTCTTCGCCATTCGGAAGATAGCTGCACATGAAATTCTAGCATTTTTATGTCGGATATAGGGAAAGAATCAACCGAATTATTTCAAATTTGGTGAAAAAGTTTTACTGTGGTATACCATATTTTCCGAATGCCACCTATACTAACTAGCTTAGTGTGCATTATCTACGAGACTATGTAACAGATTTACATATAACTTTGTATATTTTATCTATGACAATCATCGAATGTGCTAATACAGTAACTTTTGTCCTCCATTTATGAAGGACGTCATATACACAATGGAGTTTCTATGCCATATCTCGCAGACCAATAAACCGATTTCCACCAATTTTTTCACACTAGTGGCGTTATGGTAAGCCATGCAAACTTAGTTTTTTTTTAATACTTCGGATACATATTTTTAAAGTGACAGCAGTGTAAATATTTCATGTAAGTGACGTCAACGCCTACCTACCATTTAAGGTTTTAAGAAACATTCACAAACAATATGACGGAAATACTCTTGAACTGTTCATGAATGCTGTTCTCTAGAAATAAATCTTCAAGGGCCGGACAATGACCTGCTGTAAGATAAGTGAAATAATTCTCCGATATACATTAAATGAATATATTGTGTATGTGCATCAGGCTGAGTATAGCACTTGCTGGACTGCTGTACAACATAGGTCAATTTAAGAGAGTGCTCACTTTCAATGTGGACCACTATGGCCCACTCTAAATAAATTGATACGCCCACCTGTGTATTTTCGACACTGTCTGATTGACAGGTAAAGGAAGAAACGGAGAATAAATGCAGTGAGATTATTCTTCAATTCCGCGGTATAAATTTATACTTTATGCCATTACAAGAGAGGGCATTTGTACATCTTTTTTTTTTTTTTTTTTTTTTTTGTATTTGCGATAGTTTACATTTGTAAAAGAAATGCGTGCATATTTAATAAACAGTACTTTAAAAGGTGCTAAAATGCATATTTTCTTGTGTATAGTGCAATTTAAATTATCTCAGACCCAGTTTAATTTATGTTTTCAGGTGTTGTCAATACATAACTTTCGATGCGCTCCGCACATGTTTCGACATCACATCCAGTGACATGTAGGACATGTGTTCGACTAAAGTAATAATGAATCGTGCATAACCAATAGAAGTGGCACGGATCATGAATCAGTCACCCATAGAGAATATAATTGGTCACTGAGCCTCATAGTTAACAACTCCAGCAAAGAAATAATCTACTTATGCAGGAATAACATAGTTCTGACATGCATGACACGACAGCCCCGACTCGACATCTAAAACTAAGCATCCAGTCAAATACGAGATACACCTATGAGCCATTACATTATGGCTACCTACCTAATACCATTGAATATGTTTAGGTATAGAAGGAACATTGCCAGAAATATCTTCTTCAGCGTTGTTGACGTAGTTGCATTCCACAGTAACATGATCCAAACCGCAGGCCAGACACTGTACGTTATGTATTACGGACTGTAGTAGAGAAACGAAGCGTTTGCGAATATATGTCCTTACAACATTTTTTTTTTTCATCTTCCAGATGCGAGGTATGTTACCCCGAAGTATTGTCATGCAATTTTGCAACACTCTGTATATATTTACCATGCTGCCCGAACGTGGTATGTAACCCTCAGTGTGTAAAATGTTCTCAATTCGAGGTGGTGATAATGTAATGGCTCATCGCTGTATATTTGACCAGCAGTTTAGGATTATTGCAAAACAAAATTGTACGAAAAGCTTTCCCTACAGTAGCAAATACTAGCTCTATCTCGTAACCATAACAATTCACCTTTGTATGCCGTGGCTAAAGCATATTCGTAACCAACGTGTATCTCAAATATCCTGCCTGCCCACACAGCCTTTGAAACTAGCTTAGTTAATCAGCGCCTTCTACACAGCGTGGTCTTGAGAGCCGATGAGGGTGATTGAAGTGAATATGGAGTAGCGTCGGAATGAAGAGGCGGGGGAAATGGGAGACCCCCGAGAAAACCCGCCGACCAACGGCATCGTCCGGCACGATTCGCACTTGTGAAAGTCCGGTGACCCGGCCGGAGATTGACCCCGGTTCGCCTTGATGGGAGGCGAGCGTGCTAATCGCCCAGCCACCGTGGCCCCTGAAAGAGAAGGAGCGCTGTGTTTTAAAAACCACTTTACATCTCACGGGAATTTTAGTGGCATTTTTTCTTTATATTCGGTATAACGACGCGGGTATCACCAGTGGAGGAGTAAAGAAGGTGTCTGATCAGCACGCTGTCTAACGAAATGAATTGCATTGCTTGAAACCGGGTGGGTATGTTTCGTTATAGGCAGTTTTTCACGGTTATGTTGGCACTTTTGAAATCAACGTTGAAGTATGTCACTACGGGCACACTGGGTGACACATAATGGAGAGGAGGTAGTTCCATCTGTCGAGATGTTCAATTGCCGGGCGAGGTGGCGCAGTGGTAACTCCCTAGACTCGCATTCGGGAGGACCCAGGTTCGACTCCCGGTCCGGCCATCCTGGCTTCGCCCCTCCATGGATTTACGAAATCACTACAGGCGAACGGCGGGGTGGGGCCCAAACAAAGGCCATACCCGACTCCCCGCCATTCCCCCCCCCCCCCCCACCCCGCTACCTGCACCGCCCCTAATGACCTCGCTGTCGACGAGAAGGTAAGCCAAACTATCTGCCTACCTCAGAATTGAATTGAAACACGTTAACATGGGTGATTACTAAAATAATTTGTTTTGTTTTTAATGCATATAAGTTTGAGATTCATTTCTCTCCCCCCCCCCCCCCAAAGTAACTAAAACCATTCTTTTATAACAATTAATTTTGCCACTAAAGATCATGACTCTTAAAAAATGAGAAATTTTATTGAATCCACCAACATCTTCAATGAATTCCTTCCATGGATTAGATCTATCCCTGAGACAAATAATTAAATAGACGTTATTCCAGCCACAAAAGTAAGCACAGACACGCCATCTAAACACAAAGGTTTCAGTTTTGTTGATCTAGCAATTAAAAATTTGGTTGCTCTTCCTCCATTCCTACATATTTTCTTACAAAATTTACACGATGGGAAGTCATATTAACCACAGCTTGGCCATCACTAGCAATAATCCCAATGGTGAAACATCCGTGGGCAAGGACATGGGCTGGATTTACATTTATTTTAGATACTCCAGTAACGCTGTAGTCCACATATATCGTCTGTCTCACTAAATATACTTCAACCAAAGTTGAACCAGCAAGGAGTTTCTTTCATAATAACACCAAAACTAAGTTTGAGATTCATCAAATATTTGAAATATTAACTTTACTAGAAATTTTACAGTTTCACTTGCTTGGGCACATGAACTGAGTGATCAGTTCCATGACAATGTTAATTTTACATATGTTGGAAATATACACGATATTTATACATGCAGATCACAAACAGGGCCTTCAAAAGAGACGAGTTTACAGCGAGCAGACTTTAAATAATAATATTTAAACAA